CTACTAACTACTAAGTTAGTAAGCTATTTATTATTAGCATTGTTCTTCCGACGTCTGATTTCTTTTTAATTGTAGGAAATGCGTTTTTCTAAAGTACATAAATTTTTGGGACTAACTGTATAGCCAATACATCCTTGAAGTTAATAACAGTACATGAAAATAAATGAAATGATTCTTCTATTCCCTAGCAACTGTTCGCTTACAAAGGTGAGTAGGAACTCAGGTTCAGACATCAGGTTTAAAAAAGATAGTCCGCTTTTTAGATAAATCGTTTTTTTTAATAAACATAGGCATTCACTTATTTATGTTAGTTTTTTAGACTCTCTTATGATTATGGTTTATATAATATATTGTCGTTACACATAAAATTCTTACACGAATACTAACTGGAAATGAGGCACTGGGATTACTTCTGTTCATTTTTCTTGTCTCTCATTCACTCACGCAAGCAAACGTCGCGCACACATATGCTCGATCGAACATGCTATTCTTTCACACTTTTTCCAACTAGGGGTAGTGAAGGGAAGGGTTTCGCGTCACGTTTTGAAACGCACATATATCTATATATCTATATATACTTATTACAAACAAAAAGTACGCACTAATTGTAAGTTTACTGAGATCATACTAATACATCACAGGGTTACATAGACATAAGATTATTCTCTTTTTACTATTTTTTTTCGTTTCTTCCCCGACGACAGATTAACTTTCTTTTATTTGTTGGTTTACATCCGTGACCCTTTCAGATCTGATGAGATTCCATAGTCGTTCGATGCGTGTCTCTCAGATTTTTCCTCGTACCGACGCGATTCTTGTGTTACCCGACGATGAGAGAGAAAATTCAACGCGGTGTCCGTTCGAAACTATTAGACTTCGGTTCGGATTCGTTTTATCGCGCGGCCTCCTCTCACAGCGTATCGCAGCTATGAAAAGCGGCATTCAACCGTTCGAACACAGTGTAACCGGTATGAAAAACGACTATTAGAATTCCACGATGAATCAAGATGAATCGATTCATAGCGCACTTCGCGAGTGAACTACGAAAAAAATAGCTTGTAACCACCAGTCGTATTTTTCAATTATATAATCTCAAAAAGAAGAAGGGAACAAAAGTTGAACCGGGAACAAAAAAGGGGGGGTTTGGCGATTGGGGGCGGGGTGGGAGGCTTTTAACCAAATTATTCATAAACAAAGAGAAAAAAAATTGTAATAAACAGCTACCATTATAAAATCAATGTATCATTTAAGATATACAATTACATTTACATTAATATTATGTTTTGTGTAAATTCATCCGCGACGAAGGAAATGACGAAGAATCGGTTTTGGTCCGTTGCGAAATGTGTAAACTGCGTGCGTTGTGAAAACTCCCACTTTTCGTGTACGTAAAACTCGAATACAAAATTTGTAAATTCAAGTACCGTTTAAAGACCTCCAGAAGCTATGTATACATATACGTCTCGTTTGTTTCGTCGTGAAGGGATTCCGATTCAATTTATTTACATTTACAAATCATACTCGGAAAATATGTCAAATCGTATGCCTGCACGAAGAAAAATAAATCGATTACCATGCTAACAGGCCACCGAGAACTTCCAACAGCTTCCTTTTTCACGCTACACCACCGATAGTATGTAAAGTCTGATCGTAAAACATTAAAAATCAAGAGAATTCTTCGTGATGATTCATACAAGAACGAAAACAGCGAAATAAAGATTGCATCCTATGTCTATGATACAAACGATCATCGTTCCTTTGATTAATCGCCATGAATATCATGGCATAAAAAATTCAGTGATTGTTTCCTTATTTGAGATAAAGGATCTAAATAATTGCAATCTTCACTTTAGCTTTCTAAGCATACTAACACTCGATGCGATTTAATGACGATGAAATGACAGAGGTGAGAATAGCCAAAGACACGATGACGAAGGTACCTTCTTCAAAGATGTATAATATAAGAAAAAAATCGCATGGAGATGTGATTTGGCATCGGCTGTACTCTCTTAAAATCGTACAGGAGATCAATGCTTAAACATGGGTAACAAACTACACCTAAATCATATCTTCTTCGAGACTGATCTCTTTTCGGCTACAAGAAAAGAAAATATGATTGCGTTCCTATTCTCTGAAAAATACCGCTCCGAATTTTGTCTACTGTGAAAAAAATAATATTGTCATATAATTTCGCGAGCGTCTCGAGTGGCGAGTCGAGACTGTCGCGAAGTTATGTCGGATTTGATTTTTCATTACTCCGGGAATTTGCATCGAGCTAGGCGGTCGATAAAAACGCCCGGAGGAATAAGTCGAAACAGCCTCTGATTACCAACAGCCAGGCACTGGAACATCGCCTGTATCCGGGATTTTGACAGACCGATTAAATCGGTGGATCTCGATAGAAACGCAATGTACTTCCACCCTTAGCATCTAATATTACTTAAAAATCTACCCTTGAAAATATCCATATAATATATATTTTATCTTGGTACACTCTCACACCAAAGTGTACACGTGTAGCAACATCATCTCGTCACTCATGCACCTCGTTTCACTGTAGAATTAATGTATATATTATATCAATTAATTTCGTGAAAAACTCGCACTCGTTCCATCTCCCGTTCACTCTCACTAGATATATGTGTACCTAAATCGTTAGTCTGTCCTAGCTTAATGCAAGGGAAGACAACGACATGAGAATGACGATACAAAGAATAAAAAAGAAGAAAAACCAAGAACGTAGCAACGACCGTAGAACAGATCGTTGTTACTAATTATAGTTTCTGTAGCGTGGCTACGGAAGTGTACGAGATGAAGAAAAAAATAAAATAAAATAGAAATAAAGAAAATAAAATAAAACAGCGCTACTATTTCTGCCCACCGTTTTCGTCTTATATACTCATGGCGGATAAATCTACGTGAATGGCACAGCCAACGGACCTCGCGCCTTCTACCCAGAGCTTTTCTGCCTTTCTTCGTTCCTCCTGGCAGTGATGCTTCGTGTTTCCGGTCCCACTCGCGCTCCTGTGAGAGATGAAAGAAGACAGCGAGGCTGAAGGAGGAAGCTGAACTGGAAGGCTCTTTAGCTGCGTATCTGACCCGCGTTGCGGGCGATCTTCTCCGGCGGCTCTATCATGCTCTTCGCGCTACCGTTTAGGCTACGTTTACGGCTCTTCATAAAGTCTAGAAAGAGACAATAAGAAAAACATGTACACACCACGTACTTGTTGTTTGTTTGTGTGTGTGTGTGTGTGTGTGTGTGTTATTTTTAGTCGTCGTTATCTCGCTGCACCTGTGCGACAATGCAAGATATTGGCGATAAATATGTTAGCGATTATTATAAATAAAGCGTACAGAACAATGGAAATTGAAGCTCGAAGCGTCTGTAATAAATTTTAAGTATCACTGTAATTTGAAACCAATGCATGTATAATCGAAATCGTGCTGGCGATAACCTTGCGTCTCACACGATATCGACACACCGTGCCCATTAATTATAATCTGCGACAGATACGATGTACGCAAATCTTCATAACGTTACTTTAAGCGTTAAAGCGTGTCGGGACGATAAACGCGAGTGAAATAGTTTCGAATTAAAATGCATGCAATTTTACTTCTACCGTTTCGTGAGTCACGACATAGGAAGTTCGTTACAGAAACGAAGTTCGGGTGGGATTGATACTCGTGATCGTGAGTCACAGCCTCGTACGAACCACAAAAACTCTTGTTCACCCCCTCACGCGACATTTGGCAAATTTCCACGGGAAAACCCGGCGCATCTGTTCGATTTCCCTGGCTAACATCCCCTAAGCCCCTAAGCATAACAGAACTGCCACGCGACAACAATTATGAAGATTTCGACAGCTGTACCAGCCTGACGCTACCCTTCTCCTAATCTTCTCCCTTTTCGCAAAGTATAAGTTGCGATATCGCAGTTGTTTCGTATCCGATGGAAAATTTCGCATAAAGGGTTGCTGTCTCAAGTGCGGACGCAATCGTCGCGTGCAATTTTTAAATAGCCTAATCTACAGCCCGTGCATGCGGGCTGGGAACGCGTCGCGCCGGGTAATCCTGATTTTAAATACCGATCTACCCTCCCCGAGTCGTCCGGGGAGGGTTGTTTGTCAGTGATGCACGATTGTGAACACAGCTGATACCCCCATGCGCGTTGCGCGCAGGAGGCGCACGCTGACAAAAGCCGATGACCGAGGGCTGTGCGAAAGAGAATGGAGACGGGGGTGCGGAGGCATAGCAACCCCATATGGATCGCACAGCTGACCGCGCGCGGCTCATTAATAACGTACGTTAGGAAAATCATTTCTGCGCCCCCATCGTACCCACGATGCCAGAACGAACGTTACACGGACAGCGTGCCTACGCTCCCATGTACTCGAAAAGTGGTAGTCACCGAGTGGATCGTATCGAGAAATCGGAACGCGCCTGGTCTATCGATCCGGTTAATCAAACGGCGTATAGCGCGATATTATCGTAAACTACTAATAACGGTCGCACGCGTAGCACGCGACCAACTCGCTCGCCGTATAAAATGGTACAAGGAACTTGGATTAATGCGTAATCCCTTGCACTTAAGAACTACTATACTAACTAAGCACTAAGAAACTATACTCGTACTCCGTTTTCTTGAATTAACGGATTTTGCGTGAATGCTATGCGTAAACAAAGGAGCGCGTGATGCTGCTGCAACGCGAAACATGTTTACAGACGTGTAGATGCATGCGTGCGGGACACATGACGAGTCACGTCCAGAAATAGTAGCGTCGCGTGGGTGGCGTGCACGGCCGAATAATAAATAGGTAAAAAAAGGGGAACTAGACCGTGAGGCACGAACGAAATCGCCGTGTGCGTGTAGTAATGCAAATACAATGCGGAAAATTCGTCTCTTTTTATCAATTTTTTTTGTTATTGAGAGGCGCGAAGCAGATGGCAACATTCGCTGCTCGAATGTTTGGACATTCAGTGGGAGAGCGGCGGATAATATTTATCGTTGTGTCATCGGTGTTTACGATCGCGTGGCGCGAATTATCGTGCAATGTTTAACCACGAGAAAAAATACATGAGCTAGAGGTTTTGCAAATAGTTCCATACTTTCTGGGAATCAATATGTTCATCGAAAGTCGAATGATCTGCGGACTGATTAGAGGAAAATTAATATAGACGAATCTACGATAAGAAGAAAGCGTATGCTCAACCGACCAGTCACCGGGTGCAATTCATTCGTTTTATCAGGTGCTTACGTAATTATGTAAATTGCGGCGACCTTGCCGGTCGGAGAATTACATAGATTGACATAGGGTATATGTTACTGATTTCCGTACAAATAATGCCAATCAATTAAAATTCGATAATACATTATGATCAAGTAGAATAATTAACAAATCTTCAAGTTCCCAGATCGTTTGGACAACATATTGCACAGATGCAGTTTGGATGAATTGAGATACACTCTCTGATATGTGGTATTAGTCGCATGCAATTTAAGTTAAAAAGAATATTACAGAGAGCTTATTATAACTTATTATAACCGTCAAAGTCTGAAAAAGAGAAAGAGTAGATTAAGATTTCAAGTAGCATTGCAGTGTCTAATTTGTTTAGGTTCTTTGGCATGCATTTGCGAGTTATTAAGTAATTTTATCGACAGTAACTGTTCAAGTTGAAGACAAGCAGTCCGTTGACCGAAGTATGGTTAGCCCCTTGAAGTTTTTGAGACGTAAGAGTTTTTGCACAAGCGAGCACTCCGTTTCCTATGGTATCGCAAGAAGCGCACGTGCTCCTACATGCTACCAACGTGCCCCCGCGAAACATACAACGGTAATTTACGAGATAAGAGAAAAAAATGCTCGTTATCACTTACCGGTTATGGAGGACTGTTTCCTCGTTGCTGAAGTCGACAAGACAGGGGTAGTGGGTTCGACGATGTAAATCTTCTTGTCCTGGTCGAATTCGAACAATTCGTTCGTGGTGATTTCGCCGATCTGCGGCACTCTCGGCTCTTGCGGGGGCGTTCTTTCCGATTTCGGGATAATCGGAGTGGACGGCGTCGAAGAGGAATTCTTGCGATGAAGTCTCGTGCTCGGCGGCGAGTCTCGTGCTTTTCGCGGCGTGCTGGGCGCGTGTGTCCTTATGTAGGGCATACCTCGAAGGGCGTAGGGTTCGGGCACCACGTCCTGCGGCGTGATCAGCTCCCATTCGTACCTCGAATTGGCTCTCGGTATCTCCAAGTGAAAGTCGAATCCCCATCGTTCAGAGTCGAGCTCCGACTGAGCGCGAAGCTCGCGTTCAGCTAACGCGCGGGCCGCGGCATGATCCACGGGCCCGAATAGGTCCCGACGGACACGCGCGAGAGCTGCTCTGCTCGGCACCGTTCGTCCTCCACCCAGATTCCTGCTCATTTCCGTCATCATCACCGGATTCAACACCCGAGCGCTCATATTTCGTTCAGTCTTTCACTAGCCGGCAATGTCGCCGTCCCTCTGCTTGGCAGTTACGAACCGAGCGTTTCCCCAGGAACCAACGTTCGTCTTTTTCCTCGTTCACGCGATCAACTTTTTTGTTTTCCACTGACACCACTACACGTCTTTCGGCTCGTCTCCTCCCGTCGGCCCTGTGTTTTCGCGACAGGACTCGACGTAGTACTCGCGGTCAATTTCACGACTCGTTCACGTTACCGGATTAAAAATCGAGCTTTTTAGAGACACGTCATACGCGTCTCGTCCACGAAGATGATTCTTCTTCCAGGAATCGTTCACGGAACGTTGAAATACTCGCGGCTCGAGAGGACGTGGCAACGTTGTCGTGGCGCGACCCACCGAATTTCGAATAATGGCCGTGCACAGCGTCGTCTCGCGATTCCCTACACCGTTGATCGTCGACTCGCTTACTCGGGTACGCCAAAAACTTCGCGACACCGATTCCCGGCGATATCGGCGTACACTCGCGGATTCGAGGTTATACTTCGAGGCAGAACGTATCATCGACGACCGGGACGTGCATGTAAAACACGGAAAGTTTGGCAACACGGTAAACACACTATTGCGTACCACAGCGGGAGAGAGTGAGAGGGAAGATACGCTGGAAAACAGCGGCGGCTATCTCATATCTTTTCCAAATCCGGTACACCGTATAACAATCGGGGCAACTGAAATCCGTGGCAACGATAGTTTCCCCAGTAGATTCGAGATTCCTTCGGCTCTCTTCTCACAAATCCATCGACGTAACCCACGAATCCGACGAACTGGCAACGTTGTACGCACTTGCGCGTGAGAGTCTCCAAGAGACAAGGCAAGCGTGCTTCGATGTATACCCGCGAAGATTACTACGTCGTATTTGGAGTTAAATGCTGATCCAGTATCGGTGCTCCAGATCCGCGACGATCGCCACCACGAAACGGGGAACATACGGCGGTATCACTCGAAGTTCCCGTTCTCGGCGCAAAGATACTTCACGAGCAAAATGTTATTGCACACGGCCCGAAAGCACCAATATGCTGTCCTCTGGCACGGTGGGGAGCCACCGAATCGGCTTGGAAACCGCACTAATTCGCGTACGAAAACAGTCTCACGCTTCCCGCCAAATACACGGCTGTCAAGACACGCGCGTGGCTCCAAGTTCGGCGGAAGGTCGTGCACGATTGCGCAGTTATGTTGACGAGGTGCGTGCGTGCTCTGTAACGCGCGGAGCTGCGCGAGGACACGTTCCACACGTGCAAAGCGCTCTCTAGCGACTGGAGTATGCGCCTCCCGTTGCAACCGACCAAGCCTCTAAAACCCCCTCGGTCGTTCCCGGTTATCATCGCGGTCGCTCGTTTTCCCGTCGCACCCCACTCCCTGTCTAGCGTCGCACGAAAGAGAAACGAAGTAACCGCCGACCGCCATTTGCAGAGCATAATCCCTTCGACACGAGAACGGTGTCCCGGCACTTTGAAAACATGCACGAGAAAGTTGCATATACAGTTATCGACCCCTACTACACACAAGTTAATGAGCAGAATGCTGATCGTTACCATTAGACGCGTCCCGATATGCAGTTCTATGGTAAATACGATTAAATTTTACTTTTATTTATCGGACGAGGGGGGTCTCGGCGACAATTTCGATTAAACGACGTTTGTCCCCTTCACCCGTATTTCTTGAATACGCGTGACTGCATCAACGCGCGGATTAACCTCCGAGATAATTGAAAGCCAGAGATTATCAGAATTTATACTTTATGCACATATCCCCGATCCTCGTGAGAATTTTTCCGGTAGTAGTTAATAATTATTGCCTCAGATCTTTCGATTATGCGTTTCATACATTTCACAATGCATAGAAGCGTGTATGAGATTGAATGCTGGATACGTCGATACGTGTGTTGACAAAGGAGTGAAAAAAGAAATAAGTTCAACTTTGAAAACAGCGGGTGTATAATCTTATCACGGACACTCGTACGTACGTTTATTCGGCGGATTTTCGTGTTTGCATGGCAATACATTAAGCGCGGTGAATTTATTTACATACTTTTCACATTATCGTCCCTATTTTCTTTCAACCGATACGAGCTACTGTTCGTAGACGCTCTTAGGAAAGTACCATGAAATTTAAGAACTATAGTCTTATTTTACAAATCGAATAAATAGATTAATTTGTACTCGATTAGCTTCGATTTTTTCTCACAGCTGTATACATATCAGTAAGTATAAAGTTACATGCTCCGTCGAATGTGTATCTTCGTATTGAAATTATCATCGATTAACTCGGTTAACATCATGCAAATTTGAAGAGCATTTGCTTATTAAATTTTATGTACAAGGCGATTGCCGTCGGTTAGCACATGCTTAGCGTTGCGCTGCTAGGATAGACGCGAGATCAACGAGGCAAATCGACACTTTTCAATGGTAATTGTTAATTTACCTCGTTGGCTTTCTCGTGGCCTGCATCTCTAAGAGCCAGCGGGGAAATGTATGTGTTGGTTTATATAGAGTGGCCATCGTCGAGCACACTACTATACATACGTGCGTACATACAGAATCGTCGAGACCAATCAGATATAGCCCATTCGCCAAGTAGCATAAGCTAGTGTTAGTGTCGTACTCCAATGAATGACCTCATGCCGCGGAAAGAGTTTAAATACTCAGATACAATGAAATTTGCGAAATCACCTTATTATGCACCTTTTCATGTTACACTAATTAATTTGGAAAAGATTTCTTTCTGAACCTTCTTTCTTTTCTTATAATATTACTCGTAATCATTTTGCAACGTGTCAGTCAAACGTTATTGCTTACAAATCATCTGACGTGTGTCGATTGCGAAAAAATATGGAACAAAAGAGATAAGATTCGAGAGACGTTGGTCAGAGGTGCGAGTTCTTGTGGGAGAACTGCAAAGCGTGATGTTGAAAATGAAAATCCCACGCAACATCCAGGAAGTGGTGAGGGTGGCACCGGATGCATCTCAATGAGGGGAGAACGACCGAATGAGTCGCGTAAAACAATCCTTTTTGCGTGTCGTAAAAGACTGGCCGTCTCTCTTTCATCTGCGGTCAGGTGGGGTACCCGTTTAGCAAGGTATTTCGTTGCACAGGTGTTCTCTCATGGATTTGTCGTAGACAGAGGACAGAGAATAAACACCGTTCCCTCTCGCGTGTAACGTTCTTCCCCTGCGTTTATCTCCCGGACGATGAGCCGATTCTAGATTATTTCTCAAGGAAGTCTCGTGCCTGCTTGCACATCCTGAGTAGACGACCGGAAGACACGTGGCTGCATCTACACGTCGCGTGTTTGCCAGCGAGAGAATCACCTGTTTTGTTGCTAGGAGCGTTACGCTATCAAATCCAAGTTTGCCGTTGGTGCATGTTATCGAATAGATAACATGCACAAGTAGTGCGATAGATGAAGGTCGAGGATAGGACTAGCCTCAAGATTTGCGTAGTAACAGGTACATAGGAATCGGAGATTCGTTACGGGCATTGTTTGCGCGGATAATTCTTTAGCGATGCGCCCGTTAGGAATTGTCGAGCGTGAACCTGTTGAATGGTTGCCAGGGAATAATGAAGGTGGTGCACGTTATACGCGAACATCTTTTGTCGTAGTCGCGATTGTGCCCATTTCCGTGGGAATTCGCGGAACGGAAGTGCAATTTCTGGCAATGGGTACACCGGCATCGTCGTGGCCAGCTTCCATAGCTCTGAGCAACACGAAGAAAAAACGATTCTTAAGAAGCGGTGCCAGGTGCACCGGGCTACCTTCTCACGAGATTAATTTTAAGAAACCGTGATACTCGTGGAAATTATTTAAGTACGCGAACATCATCATTCATCACCGTAAAAACGGTCATTTGCTATTCTACCGTAAGTAAAACGTTTACTTCTCCTTATGCGACGTCTGGAACAGATGATGTCATCTCGTACTCGTGCCTAGAAATTAGGTCATGCATAAATCGTGCAGCATATGCTTGCAGGCATCCAGTTCGCTTGCCCACGCGAATCTCGTATCACAGAATTCCTCTGTTTTATTGAGATACAAGGAAGTGAAGGAATTAAAAATCTTTGGATATATTTATAAATATATTATTCAATGTATCCGAAAAAAAGTACAAAATCACATTGTATAATTCCTTACGTTATTTATAATTTTCTCGCATTCACATAATATCATTCGTTTGCTGATCACGTGTATTGCACGCGGTTACAATAATAAATATTAAACAATTGTTTAAAAATAGGATAAATAACGCGATAACAAAATCAATATCAATCGATGTCTTTGCGAGTAAAAAGTCTCTTAAATTAAAGAAAGCAACTTTGGTTTACTAGCTCTTCAGACACGGGGTGTCTAGTCTGACTAGAAGTCGACAGATTCACAGTCGATTTCGTACTTCTTACTTCGACCATTCGGAATACGAATCATCCCTACCTTCTCTAGGATATAAAAAAATACATTCGTAATTGAGTTTATGTGCTATCATTCATCTCGTTTCGATCTCCGTCTCTCGTTTGCCTCCTGCATCACGACGTCATCGTCCTGCGCGTCCTTTTCCTGCATCGTTTGTATGTTCTCCACTCGATTGCTCGACTCGAGCGGATTGCGAATCTCATTTCCGTGTTGATCGAGCTTCACCCATACGTAACGACCGGGTAGCGGTTCTTCCTTCTCGAAGTCGAAATTCCACCTCTCCTTAGCCTGTAGCATTCAAAAGAAGAATACAACCTAAACGATGTCGGGGGGTAATTGTTCGAGGTGAATTATACCACGTACATTCTCCCGGTTTTTTCGTGCCTCTTCATAAAACCGATTCACTATATTGTCTTCTACGCCAGAATTCCGACCCGATTCCGTCTCGTTATCGTCGTCGTCGTCTTGAAACAGTCTCCTTCGCACGCTCCGTCTCCGTCTCTCTTGCACGCTGACGTTCGGATATTGCATGATATTGCGGACTCTTGGCAGATCGAGAAAGCAAATTGGCACGTCAAGAAATTATGCGACACAACCGAACTCGATCAGTGTATTAAAAAAAATCCTATCGTTGGACGTTATCAAATCGCAACACGATGCACTTGAGAGTTAAGTGAAGATATTCGTTCAATACTGATTGCAAATAACATAAAAGCGTCGTTACGATATGCAGGAACAAGAAAAATGACAGTATATGTCAGATTTAATTACCGAGCACGATTTCGCGGGGATAGTAGTTCTTTGTGGTTTGTAAACAATGTGATATGCATCGAGTGACTCGACGCATTGCGCTGTACGCCGGGTCTGCGTGCACGTGCGCGCGTGTTGGCAAACGAGGAAGAGAGAACAGAGAAGAAACCCGTAGGCACTCTCGGCTAATGTGCCGTTGAACGGATGTATTGGAATGCATATCACTTCCTGCATGAAAGTACCACCGTACAGCGGATAATAATGCCTGTTATTCAACATTATAGACGCAATAAACTTTCGCGCGTGGCGCTAAACCTCCGATCAGCGAGCATAGTTTGTCAAGTGAACATTCATAAGGCGACAGTCGTTAAAACGAATTGTTTCTTGGGAGTTCCACGCTAAGTTCCAGTTAGGAGTAGCTACCTAGCGAGTCTTTGACATTTCCATGGTGTGAAAGCACTATGTGTGTCACGTTAATCTTTTGTTTTTCTCCTTGGCTACAAACTGGTTTGCTGTTAGAACTTTCGCTGCTACTGCATAGCTTTCCTTCACTCCCTGACCAACGCGTGGAATAATTGCATACAAACATTGATTTCTATCATCTCTTCAAAGGATTGTAGGTACAAATTTATTTATTGCTACCAATATTTCTGATTTGAAACAAGAAGAGCGAATGAGATGAACAGTGGCTTAGATGAAACAGCACGTTGCAGATTAAATTCAGTAACAGTACCCAATGTATGTACATACATCGTTACGATTGATCGCTATACATTGTAAAGGTTGACCGCAGGATGAGGTCTTGAATTGGTGGACAAACGGATTTTTCCAATTTATACGGTCGCATAATTTTGAACCGCGTCGGCTGGCAACGTGTGAAACTTGCCATTGCGAACGAATCTGTAGCGTAATTCCATCGGGGTGCATAATCAACCGGTGTGTAACACTGAACTACCTTGCGTAAAACAAAGAATCCGTGCAGAGGAACGTGCACCTGCTCGAGCTTCGCATCCGTTGTTTACGGTCCCAACATTCCGCGTTGCACGATGGTCATTTATTTTATTTATTCAACGAACAACGAGATCGTTTCGATGATCACGTTGGGAAGATAGGCACTGTGTGAGATTCGACCCCGAGTGGAACGACCGGTTTAAAGGGACGAAGTTCGCACTGAGCAATATCGATCTGCATGCAGAAACACCGATTTACTCACTGTCCAGGGTAGAGAATCGGTTCCGTTTCGAGCTTATCGTTATCAGTGATAATTTATCGCAGATCACAGACACGTTAACATCCCGTAATCGCAACGACGCGTGTTTTCCTTTCCCGAGGCCGCGTCCCTGCGTTCTACCGTCAGCTGGCGCAAAATTCTTAGCTCGCATAGCCGATCGATAATCCCCCTCGTCGGGGGTGTAGGCCGGCGTACTAAGGTGTGTCGGGGGTATTTTTATTGTGCGCGCGCATATTGCAACCAGACTCATTCAGTGCGCATTCGCACGGATATCGATATTCGACGCTCCCGATTCCCCTCCGCATGCAATTCTATCTTCGTCCATCGAAATCTTGCGACCGTTAAGCGACGTCATGCCGCTCTGCCTTGCCCGATATCCGTCGATTTCATTAGGAAATAAAGGAATTCAATAATTTGGAGGCGGTTGCACGGATAATCGGGTCATAGGTCACCTCTTATCGCGTTTTGCACGGTCCTTGAACTAACCTTGGTATACTCGCTCGTTACTCTCCTCGGTTTGCCCGGAGATAATCTCGGCCTGGAATTGGCCGAGCATACGTTCTCGACCTCGGTGAATATCGTTGATATTGAGCCCGTGAAAACGCGTCGGGCACTCGATAAAATACGCAGCGCAATGTCAGAGCCGCGAATTCCTCGCGTGAAACGGGGGAGTCAGCGAGGCTGCGGATAGCACGAGGCTCGAAGCACGACTGCCGCAAAGTCGGAATAGTTACTTACTTGCATCCCAGGTGCAGCTGACTAGCCTAGATTCTGCACGCAGACTATTACTTACGAGCAACGAGACGGCAATAGACGCATGCGCGAATACTCATTAAACCGAATGGTTCATTGTGCAGTCCTCTATTCCAGGATGCAAACACGTTGTCTCATTGCGACATTCCACGAAATAGATACACTATTCCGTGAATTGCAATACGCGGAATAATACTTAACGAAATACCAGTTATCGTCATTGGACGCTCTCGAATTACTGACCTTTCGGCGAAGCATTCCCGTTTGTTTCTGAGAAGTCGATATGCAGTAAGACGTTCGTCACACCAGCCAGTCACAGTAACGATTAGATCTCAATCAGTGACAGTTTAAAATTTAATGATGCATTCAAAGAGCAAAAACAATTATAATTAAATAAATAATAAACAGTTTTGACCACTGTCTCATTTTATGTGGTCTGACAGTAGCATGACTTCTAGTGTGCATTAAACTTTAGAGAAAAAGAAAGCGTGACCGTTCCACGAATGGTTTTTCTCGGATCTGACGTTCTGAAATCATATCGCGGTATGCGCATCGAATTATTATTTCACGAGTTGCGATAAAACGATTGTTCGGAAGCGATCGATCAATATTTGCAAGCTAGTGGAATTGAATCGAGCCGATGCGGCGGGGTAAGGAGTCCGTGTCCGGTGTTACCAAGGAGAAAAACAGAAACGTTTCCGTGAGACTGTGACCGATAGAATGGCGGGAAGTAGAACGTTAAGAAATTCTCACATACGGATACTCGTACTCTCCGGAGGATTCCTCGAAGACGAGAAAAAAGCAGCAGCTGAAAGCAGCGTCCTAGCGTCTATATGATCCGCGGACGCATTCCTCTACCTTTTCCTACTTCCTCGCTGCACTAGACTAGGCGAGTCGGTCTCGGAACGCGAGCGAACCTCCGCTGACCGTCGTTTCGCGTCGTAAATTCCGAGGAAATTGCAGCTAGCTAGGTCAATTACTGACGCGCAATTTCGCGTTCTTTTTCTTCTTCCTACCCCTGTCTGGGTCTTTCTCGCGGATGGTTGACTCGCTTCTTCCATGGCAACCCACGCAGCTGTCGATCACCGTCGACCAGCACGCCTTTCGAAAGGCTTCGAGCAGGGGACTCTTTTAAACGGTGCCATCGATATTTCGCGTATGCGCCCCGACGACAGCTGATATTTCAAATTTTTCGTCCGAGCGTAACCACTCTCGAATTTCAACCGATCCCCGTCGGCGGTGAAAAAAGATGTATCGGTTGAAACGATAGCCAGATGCGAGTCTCTCAAACGTTTCCGGAACCATACCGTTCCTAGTTTGTATAGATTTCGGATTGGTCACGTATGAATCGTCCAGTAAATGCGAAATGTGAAAACTGAAGTATTCATATTTGCACAATTATTCAATTCATTATGTTTGTGCGTCCATGCATTTATAAGAAAATTCTGTACTCGCATTTACCTAAATTTCAATCGAACAACACCGCGTGCGAATCGCACGATCGGCCGCTTATGAATAAGTCATAAGACTGATGACTCGCATTGTACGAAAGTATGTACCTACTTTTTAATTTTCTCGCGTGCAACCACGCGTGACACCACTGCCTCGCGCGGCCCGATTCTTCCACCGGATTCGTTTAACTCTTTTCTAAACGACTAGCGAAACGTTCGCTATCCAGTAATCATTCCGCTCGAATTATTACAACGAGCGGGTGGCCCATTCGAAAGAAGTATTTCCTGAAGGAAGACACTGCGACGCGTCATTTGCATTTTTTATTCTTCGTTCACCGTGGAAGGGTAACGGATAACATCAGTAATTA